TCTCCTAAAAGGAGTAACTGCAGAGGGAGGAACCGTTGCTCTCCTTTCAGTTCCTCCTTCAGGGGATGAAAAGTTACTCCCTCCAGTTCCTCCCTGCAGACCAACAGTTACTCCCACCAGTTGCTCCCTGCCGACCAACCATTACTCCCACCAGTTGCTCTTCTAAGAGCAACAGTTACTCTTTACCGTTCCTCCCACGTGTTCGCAGTTACTCTCTGAAAACCAACTGCACATGCTTCCAGTTACTCCTTGGGGAAATGAGTATTTATCTCGAGTATGCTTGTCACACGCTTAACACATGGCGAGAGCTCCTTGGAAGAGCACTGCTTGGGTGCTTCTAACACAAAAAGTGGACAATATTGAAAGGAAAAGAAATGCTTTATTGTTCTTTTTATGAGGCGACGTTAAAAGTAGACTTCGCCACACCACAGCCAGCACTAAACAAACACAATACATCAAAGGTTTTCTGCGTCATCCGTGGAAAAACAATCTTGAATTTCTAGCATAGGGCAGTCTGTGTCATCATTGGTGAGAGAAGGGCAACTTCTCCAATTCCAAAGAACTCAAGTTTCGCAGCTGGTGTTTCCATCAGGCTAGCGCAGCGGAACGTCACCGCAGGCATATGTGAAGCATCTCATTGCTGCAAGAAAAAAAATAGAAGTGTGAGGTTAAACATGCCAGAATCAATGCATAACAATGAGTCACACACACTGCAGCAGCGCTTACATTCTAGGATGTCTACTGCAAAACGAAATGTGAAAAAAAGGAAGGTTCGGCCAAACGTTACTTGGCAAGCCATATAAATGCTGATGTGATAGACGCTCTTCACATGATGTCTCAGACAGCAATATTCTGGAAGAAAATGTGCAGCACCTCAACAAGGCATATTTGTAGCAGTTAAAGATACCCTTAGGTTCAGCTAACTTGTTTCCTATACACAGCTGAGTGACATTTCTATGAGCCCATTCACCAATGGGCATTCTAAGTGTGGTCATGTGTGTGGCAAATAACACGTACTGTCCGCTCATGTTAAAATACTTATTTAGCTCGTGCACATAGATGCTCTCGATTCTACTGTTCTATCATACGCTGCTGCGTCTTGAATTGTGCAATACCTGTAGGCACCAGCCAAGCAGGCAAAGCCTGCTTGAAAGCAACCATTTGCAGAGGCTACATGATAATCTTCAGTATATTTCTTTGTACCTGACGCAAACGGCTGGACAAAACTATAGACAAAAAATGTAGACCGTGCTACCTTGAAAAAATGCTTTAAATTTAGTAAACTAGGATGCATTTGTTCACTCGGTTGTCGAGGAAGCAATATATCTTAAGGCATGCACAGATATTCTGATTCTTTGTTTGACAGTGTCACAGATAGGTTGCCAATACATATATATTTGAGAGCAACAAGATGTGATGCTTCTATTAGTTCAACGTCTTGTTGGTTCACAGCCAAACAGGCTACTGCTTGTTAGACAAATTGGAATAAGCACACCGTGGTTTCCAAAAAAAAAAAGCATTATTAAAAGTTAGCTCCCAATGTGAATGTCTGCCTATTTATTTTGTACTGCCTTCTACATGTGCCACAAAGACATTTGTTGAGGATGTGCTACCAGTCAAGCCAAGATCGCATACTTGGTGAATGTGATGGAAATACAAACATTAGAAACACTGCCACCTCTAGTAAGAGCATAACACTTCAGTATCTTGGACTAGTAAAGAGGTGCACAAGAAAGTTAAGCCCACTCTTGCGGAACTTTGAACGCGAATATTTCAGAGTGGGGGAGGTCAACATGCTGTAGCACTTTTAAACCCTCGAAACATCTGCAGAAAGTAGGGTAAAGGCAAGTCAAGAAACGCTGTTATGAAGGCCTGCGCATGGACAGCTCTGTGAATCTAGGCCCAAGTGTTATGCTTTGTGCAAGCCAAAATCCATGTAAATAGGGAAAGCATACTTTTAGGAGTACCAGCGTAAACAAATCTTGGCAGTTGGCTTTTTAGTACAAACAGCAATCCCTGCAGTGAAAACATAAACATTTTATCTTAACGGTAACAGTGTGAGCACACACACGGGCCAGCGGAGCCATGTCGAATTGTCAGTGCCAGTGTAACCATGTGGCATGATGAACTATTCTCTGGCCAACACATGCACAGTTTGCCCCTAAAAAGCGATGCTTTCATATACGTAGTACAAAAAGTCTGCACTTACCAAAATTCACTTGCTTTCTGTACTTTAGCATTGTTGGGAGCATCTGCAGTATAACCAAATTTGTGTCATATCCCTGAAAAAAAAGTAAAAGACATGCATCAAATATTGTTTCATTTGGTAGCAGTGAAGTCAGGTTAAGAACAGCCAAGTGGGAATCAGCCTAATTATGTGCATGCGGCAAATCCCAAACGGTGTTATTGAGGTTGTCGAAATTTTCGTCGATTGGTATTAACGTCGATATGTGACTTCAACGGCATGCCAAGTTTTCACAGCGCATAAAGATTTCATGATGCAAAATAATGACAACGCTAACGAGAACATACAGCATTTATGATTGTCTTTTACAATATTCAGTTTTGCTAAGGTTTTGCATCTCTAAAGAAATCTGAAAGATTTGGGTCATTCCTCCTCCAATTGTTCTGTCAATATGTAAACTGCTCGCTTGATGGTGCGCTTATAAAATAGTACGTTCAGCGCAGAGGTGAAGCAAGTGACGCAGTGATGTGGGCAGTTTTTTTTTTTTTTTTTTGAGGCGTGCGGGGAAGGGGGGGGGGGGGGTCCGCTTATCTGAATAGGCCGGGCAAGTGAATATGGTCGTCAATTTGGGCTCCCTACGCCCGGCCTAAAAAAATTCTGTGCGCAACCGCCTGGCTATGCCAGTGAAGTGATGCGACAATGATTTGTTCACTTACTGATTTACATACACTTTACAGCTCTAAAAAATGCGGCCCAAGGCCCCAACACTCAGCCGTTAACATTACATAAAGCCAATGGTAGAAAAGTGCCAGTATGAATGCAGCTACAACCCCGCCCCAATGTTTTTCAAGCGAGGTAGTGTTGCGGAAATGAACTTTTAACTGCAAAAGTACACTGGCACTGCAGTGGTGACAGGGGAAGCAAGAGGGTATGCAGGCGGTAATAGAGGTAATTTAGTCCGATACGGCAAGCAATGGATACGGCGAATAAGAGCAAATCATTTCTCTTTCAATAGCGCAACCACTCAACAATGTAGGGATTATGTACTAACGCAGAAGCTCTGGAAAGCACAGAGTATTACATTGCGGTCCTTCGTTAGCGGCCCCTTCGAGTGGCCGCAAGCACAAATTTATAATGAGATTATTAGCGTTGCTCGCTGCTTCCCAAGCTTAGCCAGAGACATATGCCTAATGAGCACGCTGATAGCAAGCGTTCGCAGCGCGTTGGCATTAAGTTGCTCCTAGTAGCAATTCGTCGTAACCTTTTCTGTTCATCGAGCGAAACATCGGTTTGCTTCCTATATTTCTTGTACGATCTTTATCCACATAAACCGAGTTAACGGCAATCAGTTTGATTACTTTACTTTCAAACAGAGGGCGGCAGAAAACGGAAAATGCGAACAGTAATATTTGAAACTACAGGGAAACGTTATGCGGGTACAGTAACTTTCAACTCGGTGAATTCGCGCGCGCTCTTGATAGTGATTACAAAGAAATGTTTAACGTTTTTCCGGTCTGCAAAGTGTTTGATTGTCCTACGCATTTGTACTTTAAAAAGATGCCCTCACACGTAAAAAAAAAGAAAAATTGAGGTCTTATGAGCCAAAACAATGATTAGGCGGTGCGCTGTATTTAAAGGCTCCAATTATTTTGACAATCTGGTGTTCTTTAAGGTGTACAAACTTCGCACGTGACAGGAGCCTCTAGCAATTCCCCTGCATTGAAATGTGACCACCACGGCTGGAATCGAACCCGTGACCTTTGGGTCAGCAGTCGAGCGTTACGCCACCGTGGCGCATAATATTAACAGGAGAGGTTAACGTAACACTTCTTTTTTGCCAATTTGATTCTTAAGTTTACTTGCAAGCCGCGATATTACTGTGAGGCAAGACGTGTTCCGAGACTTTTGGGTAACTCGAAATCCTGATGAGTTTTTCTAAAGGGTAGTTGTATTCAAATACAAGCACGCTTAGTGTAAATATAGAATCGCGTGCAGCATGGTGCAGTTATCGGCGCCTATTTATACACCAACGTAAAAACAAGGCACATGCGCAGTGCGTTTGCGACGACACATTGTCATGACGTGCACCGCGTCATCCGAGCGCACCATCACCGAACGCGGTCAACCAGGAGGCTACTTACGTGGGTGAAAAATACCCGTGCCGCGAACGAACTGCGCATGAGCAGACCTTCGTGTCAAGGTAGGCATCGCTGACAGAAGTGTGCGGCAAGCGCTCTCATGTTCTCACTAAGTGGGCGTACGACTGTAGTTACGTGAGCTTTTTTTGTAATCTCGTACAAATGCAATCACCTCGCCCAGGGTCGGAAGCTGGATGTTTACTCAAGGAAAGAGATGCATTTTAATTACAGAAAAAAACTTTAGGGACCGAACCGATTGGTTAAAGGGTCCCTACTGACTATATCATTAGAAAAAAAAGCTTCTATAACAGCTGTTAATATACACATTGTAATGTAATTTATATCCAATTTTAAATGTAATTCAACGTGCTATTGATGATTCGACGCTCATTTTTTAAGATGCAAGCAGCCTCAGATGCCTCGTAAGTGCGAATGGACCACCGGTGGCGTCATCATAACTGCCTGCAAAAAAAAAAAAAACTTCATTCACATAGATTGACGTCACCACATGACGTCTTGAAACGGCTCAGCCAAAAGTGGGACGCAATTATGAAGTCACTAGGACGTCATCACGATGTTACACGATGACGTCTTCGCATGACATAATCGTTTGGTAAAAGGTGGGCTGACCACGGAGGCAGTGCGAAACCAGGTGAGGTGCAGAAAGGTTGCAATGCTTCCGACCATGGATGTAGCGCAAAAGTGCGAAAGAACATTATGTGCGGAAAGCTTTTGGTGCGGTGTCAGGAAGAGGGAGAGCCATTACGTCAAGTGAGAGGAAGCAGCTGGCTTTCGCCTTCGTGTTCTTTTAAGTGAATGCAAAAGTAACCCTGTGAGTATCAGTAAGTACGTGTAGGCGAGGGGCGAAGCTCACGCGTTCCCCTTCTTTAAATGTGAAAGGTTACCCTGACGGACGACGTGTACGTCACCGAAGGCGGGCGATCGGCGTTTCGGCTGGCGGCCACGTTTTCTGCCGATGTGGCCTTGGACGACGCCGAGGCCGCTGGTGCCTTCGTGAGCACGTTGCTTCTGCGGCATCTTGCTGTACCCTCATCCGCCAAGCTGTCTTCCGTGCTGCAGTTGTCGAAGTACCGCTGTTTCGAGTTCGTTCAGGACGTGGCTCCGCACGCTATGTCGTTGTTTCTTGCTGGTGGGTAACTTCTCTCTTTTCTTTTTGCCTACAAATGAAGGTCTTCATTTTTTTTTTGTCGCGAAGATAACCAAATTACCGATTTCATTGGTACACTGCATTTCTTCAAACATTAGCTTGAAAGTCATGCATTCTATATACTCCGGTTGACATTCGCTCGCCATTGAGTAATTATCCATGCCATGTAACATGCCCCGTGATGACCAGTGTTACTTGCTCGTTGCTTTGAATTTGTTTCAATGAAAAAAAATAGAAAATTGCTACATTAGGAATCAATAGCAAGTTATCCGTGCCATTCGTTGGCTTGAAGCATTTGAAGAAACAAAGCTTCTTGCAAGCTCAGTGGCTTCGCTGTTTACGCTTTTACGAACGTAGTGTGATAGCTTCGAACTTTAAATGTGGTTGATATTTCTCTTAGTAATCCTGCTCTCTTTTTCACATAGCTTTCTCCTAATGTGAAAGATATTACCGTTAGCATAGTAGTTTTATTTTACTTCTTTTATTTACAGAAGGAAGCGTTCCAACGTCAGACATAGACACAGCACAATCTGTAATAGCTAACATACGCTTGGTTCTGGAGGCGGGCCTTGCTGTACTTCCAGAAGCCGAGAGAAAGAAGGCCTCGGCAAAGCTTCGTGAGATTGAAGATGTCATTCGTAAGTGTTCTCGAGCACAATTTCGCATTGTTATTGAAAATTTTTTACATCAAATAAAACAAAACCTATCTTTATGTTATCTCGGCAAAGCAAAATGGGTGGCGTAAGCTGTATTACTGCTATTTGACTAAGCCCGGTCCCCTGGTTTACAATTCGACAGTACACAACCATGACACAGGCACTATCTGCGTCAAATGAAGCCCGAACAGTGTCATTCATTCGCTGTGGTATAGTGCGTATCCTCCAGTCGTCGCCCTTCACAGATGCACGCACCTGGTTTCGGAGCAGTGCGCATATGCGCGCTCGTCCATGATGATAAATATAGAGGGCGCACACTGTACCATTGCGAATTCGTGTCTCTTTTTGGGTCTCATTTGACGCCGATAGTACGGGACAGGTTCACATAAGTCTAGGTACTTTGAAAAATACAGGAATAGAAGAAAATGTTTTATACAGTCACTTAATTAGGTTTAAGATATAGTATAATTGTCAGAGTTTTATGTCTCAAAACCACAACATCGTTTTGAGGGACACCGTAGTAGGGGACTCAACTGTGTGGTGTTTTTAAACGTGTACCTAAATCTAAGAGAACAGTCTTCAAAGCATTTCGTCATCATTGAAAGCAGGCCGCCATGCATGAAGATTCGATTAGGCTCAACAGTCTCAGCAGTCGATTACCTTAGCGACTAGACCATACCGCACTAGCTCGTATATTTGGAGCTAATAAATAACAAACAGGTTCAGTGGGTAAGCCAAGGCGTCCTTTGTCTCGTTAAATCATTTTATGTTTTTTATGTTTAATTTATTTTTTTTTAGTTGTACTTTTGTTAAGCACGCCAATTTCGGCGGTGCGGTTGCTTAACACCGAGAATGAGGTAAGCCTAAGTGGACTTGATAAGCTTTTCTTGCTGCATGTGGCTGCACTGCAGTGGAATTTCGTTCATGCCATCTTGCGCATTGTTAATCAAAGAAACTCGATTATAGTGATTTCATTCTGTCCTATTCAGAAATGCAACGGCTACGTGACAGCTCTCGCAATTATGTTATTCACTGTGCTTTAAACGTGAAAGAAAATTGAATCAGTCTCTAAAGAGTCCCTTAGTTTAAGCACGGCTGTCTCTCTCTCTTCATGAACACACGCAAAAAACAACAAAAGAAAAAAAAGACCAGCACTGCGTGCTGATATGTGTGGAGCCGCTGTAACTTGTGTATGTTATGGCTTTTCGTATGGGTTTGCTTAGCATATCTTTTTTTGTCGTCGTTTCGTAATCTTTCAAGAGAAACGCTGTGTTTTTCGTCTTTAAGCGCTGTAAGAAGAGAAACTAGATGCCAAAAAGAATCTTGTCAAGCTGGAAACTGACGAAACCAATGCCATCTCCACCCTGTGTAAAGAAAGGTAGACCATACGGTCGTAAAGCTATGAGAAGGAGATGTCCAAAGAACGAGCAACTTAAAATAAAGTCTTCAAACGTATCGTTTCTCTACGTTCCGCCCTATTATGAAGTATCCAAGCTAACGTAAAAAGAAAGTTCTCGTGAATGCCACACGTACAGTTATTGAAATGAATATCTCAAGAAATTTCAAACTGGTAAGAGACGACGTTAACAGCAGTGCGAAGTAATAAGGTTGTAGAGTTGAAGAGAGAGAAATAAACGCTTATTTAGAAACAGTGTTTCGAGCGAGGCCCGGTGTCACCCTAAGGTGGGAGGGTTCCTAGTCCAGGAACCCTCTGGCTTCGACTGTCCTCTTGGCCCTGGCGACGAGTTGTCGCAAACTGTGGAATTAAGTATTATATCAGCATGTTCTTGATAACTTGTTCAAATGGCATTATTCGAATTTTCTGTTCCCTCAAACGCAACGTAGTGGCAGAGAAAGGAAGTGAAACTAGCTCTAGTGCTTAGCAGCAGAACACCTGAAGTGTTTTCTAGTCCTCGAATGGTAAACGCGTGTGACCTGAAGGGCCAGTGTATGCGGTCATGTGACACATATTTTTTTAAAAAGCAGATTTAGTCGGGCTCGTTTCTTATTACCTTTCACTTGTTATACCCACGCAAAAGTATGCGTAACCAAATTAATCGACACAGGCGAGGCGGAAAGAACACCGACACGTGGGGATGTTATCTCATTGACCGGGAAAGTAAAGTCAACACACAAGCAGGATGGACAGCAAGTGAAAACTTCCTACAATTCTAGTGTCTCGCGCATTTGTAAAATGAATTTCGCATTGGTGTACTGACTGTACGGAGACTGCTGACAAGGCAGCGATTTAACAGTAATGTGGGCCAAATTGCTCAGGAAGCTTTCATAGTCATTAAGCCATTGTACAGGACCTCTCAAGAGAAGTGGCATCGCCTTCAACATGAACATGTGCTTGAAGTTTAATCATAGGATTGAAACATTCAAACCCTAAAAAGACGGGGGTGTCGCACCAGTGGTTAATTAACTGCACTCACGCACTTCCAGAGGTACCCGACGACTTTCACGACGACGCTCTGCTCGAGAGGCATTACGCGTCGCTACCCGTGTTCCGGTCACCCTTCATCCGCTCATACCTGTCTACGCTCAGTGGGCGGGCCGCCCGAGCTAAGGCGTCGCTACATCGCCGAGTTTCCACGGCACGCCGCATGACACACCGGCTACCCATGCTGGCGACCAAACCACTACTGCTTCCATTTTACGGCCTGCTGTTCGTGCCCGTAGCGTCCATGATGCCGCCAATCCTGGTGCGCGAATCGCCGGAGGCGACGTACGCCTCCCTGGGCCACCTTGTGGCTCGCGAGCTCATCTCCGCGTTGCATCTGTCAGCTTCGGGCGCAGCTCGCAACGGCCTTTTGGTCAACAGGCGTTTTTCTGCCGTGGTCTCCGACGCCATCGCTTGCCTCCGCCGGTCGCCATCGTCCCAGACGCACCATCAACTTGGAGTAGCGGCGAACCGGCAAATCGAGGAGGTGTTCGCGGACGTTGTGGGCCTGCAAGCGGCGATGGGCGCGCTCCAAGTGGCGGCGCCGGGTTACAGGATGCTGGCGCCGACGACGGTGTTGCAGAATTGGACGAGTGCGCAGCTCTTTTATCTGAGCGCATGTTTCAAGTGGTGCGCGTTAGCTACGAAAAAAGTGGACGGCACAGTTGGTTCGCACCGCGAGCGCTGCAATGTGCCTATCGCTGAGGAACCTGGCTTCTTGACGGCCTTCAACTGCAGCGCCAGTTCTAGAATGGCTCGCGAGCGAAAGGGCTGCTTTCAGCACGTCCCTATCAATCGTTCGTTCCAATCCACGAACGAACCAAGGTTTACCTAATTTTTAACGTTGATAACGAGAAATAAATGCTCAAATATATGTGTACAGGAGTGCATCATAATCAAATCTCACGAGTAATCGCAATGCTACTAAGAATGAAAGGTTGCCTTAGGTCCCGGTTATCTCTTGATCACAACGCGAAAATAGTTAATCTTACTTATAACTGCTGTATATTTAGTATAGAAATAGGTTTCACTTGGTGTTTGCTGGTGTACCACTTGTTCAGGACTGGTCAAATATGTTTGCGTGCCTTGGTCGCATGCCAAGTATCTCATGTATAATTGCTGAAGTGTTCTGTTTGTACACATACTCTGTGGCGCCAACTGTCGAATGACCGGTTCTGGCTGCCATAATAAAAAAGCTGTCTTTTACACGACGTTATATCGACCATGCAGACGTACGAATCTAAAAAGCCGGAGAAGTAGACGTAGCCATTTGCTTTATGAAATATATTCTGCATTTAAATGACTTACCTTCGAGGCTGACAATGCCAGCGGCTAGCACTCGCGTCGGATTAGTAAACATAGAGAGATATACTCTGCGAAAATTATCCCTCAGAATAGCAGAATTTGAATATATACTACGAGTCAAATCTATATTTCTCGTACCAGTCCTGTAACACAGGCACACATGCATAGAGAGAAAAGTCAACAGTAGAACACATTTATGTCTGTTGTATATTGCTTCATTTATAAACGCTATCTACGCACGTGTTCGGCACTAATCAAACAAGCGAACCTTTCTTCTGCAGACGGAAGCGCCTCATGTCCAACGTTCATAAACAAGTGTACCATACGGTCGTTCTCTTACGCACCTATTATAGTTAAGCGCGCGCTTTCCTAGTATAGCGGCCGGGCTGCATGACACGGAACTCCAACACAACCTCTTCGCACATTGTGTGTTAGTAGGTATAGCACTTGAGACGGCGTTGGAAGTGACGTTATTAAGATGTATAAAGTCCACCCAAGCGCTCCTTCTCAAGCGAGTGTCGAAATAAGCCGGCTAAAGTGGGTAAAATTCGGTCAAGAAGGCATAGAGTGGGAGAAGGTGAGAACGAGGCGTTTTGGTCAGTTCAGTTTTGCAGGGCCCGTATATATACACCTTAGTACCTGCACTCAGAGCAGGCAATCGTGAAGAGTCCCGCTCTTGGGTTCACGTATATAGTGGCGTGTTATAACACTTTATCCTCTTGCCTTCATGACGCACGTGAAGCCCCCTTACTCCTACGTTTTCGGCTTAGCTCAGCCAACTGCACATCGCTGCCTGCTGGGGGGACTCGCCAGGACGGCAATGCAAACGGAGGAAGAAAGGCGAGCCGGCGCGCGACGCCTTGGGCGCTCCTTTACCCGAGGGTCTATTTTCTGGGCATCTCGGGACGTGGTCCCGAAGATGGAGCAAGGCACGGCGGCAACGCTGCCCAGGGAAACCCGGGAGACTTCCATCCAAATTGCGGCGGCACTAACGCGATCAATTTGGCCCTTTCCATCTGCCTCGGGCCCCGAGCATGACGGAATTTGCGGTCTTGTTTTCTTCGCTTCCTTTCATTTCCGGCGCGGTGCTTCATCTGAGGTGCCGCTCCTCGGCCCAGCGAAGCGCTCGGCACGGCCTTGAGGCTATGGCCTGACTCGTTCGCTCCCTACCTTCCTGACGGCTATGCTTACACTCGCCCGAAAACTTTGCGTGGCACTCCTCTATTACCGTGCGCACAAGTTTGTACGAATGTGTTTATGCCTATACCGTTCTCTTGTTCCGAGGTTGGCGGCTGTGTACGTGCGTCCTTGTT